GCCCTGCTATAGCTCATAACACTCCCCTCTGGAAGGTTCCAGGACAAGTACGGCGGATACAACTGCAAGTCACTTTATGGATTTTTATTAGAGCACACAACCACGAATCAAGGCATACCCACACACACGCCTAAGGTTAGCCTAACTGCTACACACTACGCTACAGCGCTGTCAGCTTGTCAATGGGACATATTTCGCCAAAGTTCTGTGCATTACAGAAGGTACACTCTTGCCATATGTGTCTGCTCCAGCTTCCGATGTTTTGCATTTTCATCCTATAGTTTTCATCCTAGTTTTAGTTTTGATGCTGAATGAACGAAGGATTAGGATTCTGCCACTGGCAAATGTAGTGGAGATGTACATCTCGGTTCTCATTATTTTGTATACAAAGACGTGAGGGAGGTAAGGCAAAATGGGTCATCAAATGGGGGGCATCAATGTACTGGAGAAAAAAAAATTAGGCAGCATCAAGTGAGAGGACCCAAAATAACTGTGTTTATGTTAAGACTGTATGACTTCAGTTCATAAATGTACATAATGTAGACAAAAGAAAAACACAGAGACTGCAGAAGTTTTGAGATATGAGCTGTAACATCAACACATATCCTATAAGTTGCTAACATCTGTACACTACTGTACACCAGCTGTTTGTGATCATTAACACAGACAGATTTACGTGAATACATAAAGGAAATAATTTGCTGGACTTTAAATTTGAGAGCACCAATAGGTCCCACCTCTAGCAGGGCTACACAGTTGTGTACACCTGTTGTTCACCAGCAGAGGGAGTAAAGTGTCTGAATTTGAGTGGAGTGGAAATCAAAACCAAGGAAATGTTGAATGATCTGTTCTTATTTCTGTTTTCCCAATACAGATATGCCCGCTAAAACAGCCACCGGCACCATAGCCATCCAGGTGGAAGATTTTAATGACCATTGCCCCAAACTGAACAAAACCATCAAGTATATGTGTACCACGGATGATTCTGTTATTGTGAATGCCGTAGATGAGGATGTTTACCCTAACGGACCTCCTTTTCACTTTACCATCATCCCAGAGGGCACGGTGGGCAAATGGAAGGTGGAGCCTCTCAATGGTAAGGAGAATACTGACAATTGTTTAAGTTATGGTACACAATTACCAGAGTATGACCTGTTGATCCTGTATGTATCTAGTGAACTACTAGAATGTCTGGAACCTTCTTTTTAAATTTGGAAAAGCCAGATTGAAGCTGGAGTATTTAATCCAGAATACTATTAAAGCAGTATAGCATATTGATTTTTTAAACTTCTACTTCTACCACTATCGCCGGCAGACACTTTCGCTATCCTGAGGGCCCAGGAGTCCATGTGGCCTGGTTTCTACAAGGTGCAATTAAAGGTGACGGACGAGCAGGGAGTGGCCTGTCCAGAACCACAGAAAGTGGAGGTCAATGTTTGTACGTGTGAGGATGGAGTGCGGTGTGGACAACGAGGCGCCAATGGTCAGCCCAGCAAAGGAGTAGAGTTAGGACCTGCAGGCATCGGACTGCTACTCCTGGGCCTGCTGCTTTTACTATGTAAGTATGATGTGATAATCTGGTGAAGTGACACCTTTGATGTGCTCAAAACAGTTTAGGCCCAATAAATATTCTAAATACACAGGATAATCAATGTAAAACCTTTCGAGGACTTTAACATGATATACACAAAACCATGAATAGTCAGCAATGTCATGTAGATAGTAAACACAGGTGTATCAGGTGCATAGGCCTGATATGCAGAAAATTTATCTGCAATGTGGAATGGTTGCTGTCATATTAAATATTCATTGGAATCAGAATTAAGTTTATTGTCAAGAAGGTTTTCACATAGAAGGATGATTTGGTTTATTGGTCCATTACAATGACAAAATCAATAAACAAAAAACAATACTTAGGTGTGTTTGATTAACACTCAAAAACGCCTTGTATTTGTAAGCTCTATATTGAAATGACCACACCTGTTGTAACTGTGGCACAAAACTGTGTGTTTTTGTAGGATTCCATCACTCACAGTAAGAGGCTGATTATTAAAACGAGTGAGAAAAATAAGATTACATTTCATTTTAAATGCTCCAACAGCAACAAGGAACCAGTAGTTGTAGTGGGAAATTAATCAGATCACAGCCCAGGTTTTGTTTAAGGTCAATTCTGAGAGCTCTTAATTTTAGATTAATTAATTAGATTAATTAGATTAAGTAATTGTGGGTCTGACCAGCAGGTGGCAATCGTCAAATCTGACAACACACTCAAGACTGACAGAAACAACTTGTGTTCAACCACATAACCCCATTGTATTGTAACTGAAACTGCACCTCCTTTTCTGGAGGACCACAGCATCATTGCTGTCCCTACATCACAATTTGGGATGCATTAAGTCAGACAAAAACATTGCTTTTGTTGTTTTTACAGTCATTCCTCTGTTGCTGCTCTTCTGCCAATGTGGGGGGGCTGCGGGGCTGCCAGGTGGCTTTACTGAGATGCCTTTTGACACCAAATCACACCTCATTAACTACCACACCGAGGGCCAGGGAGAGAACACGGTAAGACCAACATATTTCGCTTTATAAACATATGTCAACCACTGTTGAGGACAGGAATATTACCATACATACACTGGTTGCTTGCTGTTGATATGTTGTCTACTTAGAAAGCTGCATGAAGTGATTTTTGACAGTTGGCCACCAGAATAACTGTTGACTCTTGAACATTTGGATCACAAGGAGGTGCCGCTCCTGAACATGCCAACAAAAATGGATGGCGATATGATCAATGTGGATATGGGCATGGCTACCAAAACTTCAGCGATGGCGCCCATGGCAGGTTTGGATTTCCAGAAATCCGTCACCTCTGTGGACGGGATGAATGGGACTATCTATCAAGACGGTTTTTCAAGTGGCCATAGAGAAGGGACATGGGGGACGATGAACCGTCTGGGTGGCAGTGGCTTCTACTCTGAGTTTGAGGGCAGAGAATCAGGAGTAGGTGGAGGACTTTGTGATGGCATGGCTCTGCCAGACCACTTCCTGGGACAGTACTACTATCAGGTGAGGATTAATTTATATATTTTTAGTCTACTTTCTCTCTGTTGTAATTGCTGGCTTTTGTGGTCCTGGACATAATTATTTGATGGTTCTTAATTGTTAGGGGAAAACAAAGTGTATAAAAGAGGTATAGCTGGAAATGCACAAATGCTGTCAACAACATCACGATATGAACTGTTAAGTTTGGCCTTTGACCCTATAACCCACTTATAAAAGCCCTTTAAGCTAACTAACTCACTGTGTGTTAATAGACATACCAACAGCTAATGAACACAAAGACAGTTTGCATCATGAATACCAAAAAAATATTGTGCTCAGTCTACAAAAAAGGTAACCTTGGTGACGATTTCCTTTTCTCTTTTAACAGAAGGTGAACAGTGGAAATGAGAACCTTGGAGTTAAGGATGGTCTCTTGGTTTATGACTACGAGGGTCAGGGCTCCTCTGCTGGCTCAGTGGGCTGCTGCAGCCTCCTGGAGTCTGACAACGACCTGCAGTTCCTCGAGGACCTTGGGCCAAAGTTCAAGACCCTGGCTGAAGTATGCGGAGGCAAGAAGATCCCAGCTGAACTCAAACCAATGTTTACTCCTCTGCCCAGTGCCTCCATCAACACTCAGAGCTCTGTATCAAGTGTGGTGAAAGCCCAACAGCTGCCCCCTCCACCCCAGCGACAGCCAACCATTGCCAAAACAGAGCAGACTGTGTTCAGGGAGACATCTGAGAGTTCCCAGGTGTTGAAGGA